GGGGGGGGGGGGGGGGGGGGGGGGGGTTGGCAGCTGTGACGTTTCTCTGTAAACATCATGGAAAAAATCGATAGTTTTTATATTTGCAGAGTATAAAAAAGAAAACAATTTGATACAAACATCAGTCTATATATTCGTAATGCCATACCTGTTCTATACCTATACATTTATATTATTACCTCCAGAGAAACGAACATATGACGTTTCTCATGGACAAAATCGATATGTGAGGCAGTTGTAACTCCAATTTCTCAAGATTACCTATTTAGAGCACTCTTGTTGATGCCTAGTGCCGGTGTTTTAAGTTTTGTAATTCATCTCCATTGTCATGCAGAAGAGCTAGAGATCTTGTCCTTACTGCTTTTGAGTCCATTGGGTTAGACAGAAGAATTTTGGCTTGCATAGTTTAAGAGCTGGAGGTGCTTCCACTGCCGCAAATGCACATGTAAGTGATCGTCTGTTTAAAAGGCATTGCCGTTGGAAGTCGGAAAAATGTAAAGACGGATATATAAAAAATAATGTGGAGTCGCTTCTTTCTGTTTCAAAGTCTTTGGGTATTTAGTTATAAATACAATGATGTGCATGACGTTTAACCAACGCAACCTGTTCTATTATTCACATGCTGTTGTGTGCACACACTTCCGTTAAAAAGCCTGTTCTGTATTGAATGATAAATATTTTACATTTGTTTCAGCAGGGAGCGAATTAGAATATAAATGTTATTTATTATTGGTTACATAACTGGTGCATATATGCATATGATTAGGTATGGTTGAGTAGTGTGGTATATGGGTGTATATAATAAGCAATAGAAGGGATTAAAGTCATTCGCATCCAACGTCTCAGCTGCATGTTAAAAAAAAAAACATTTAAGGGGAAATGAACGCAGCGATAGTATTCAACCGTGTTGGCTTCACATTGTCAATTCACTGTTTATGCACCATTATTCAGTTATTGTGTGTTTTTTTGTTGGTTTTTTTTTATTGTAGGAATACTATCATGTGTGCTGTACTTGTGTTTTTCTCATGAATGTATTAGTGAAGAGTATTTGAATGTTTGTATTTGGGTAATATTATAGCTGTCATTGCTGTTGTTACATTGAACTTTAGTTGAACTTGCAGTTAAAATGTATATTATTGTATTGTAAGGCTCGAAGTAAATACTCTCATGCTGTCGTGTGGACACACTTCTGTTAAAAAGCCTGTTCTGTATTGAATGATAAACGTTTTATATTAGGTAGAGCAGGAGCGAATTAGAATATAAATTGTATTCTCAAGATCTCTTGTCTTTTTCGAATTCGTTTTTTTACTTTTATAAATATGTACATAAGGTCAGGAGTTAGTAACTGTAACTGTGAGCACAGATCTTCTGTCATCACTATACAATAATATGTTTATAGTTTTGGAAAGATTTGTATACAGTTAAAATTAAGAAATATGTAAATATCACGAATGAGAAAAATGTAATGTTGAAAATAATTTATGTCCGTCTTATTTTCTTTGCCTAGCGAAAGTATATATGGGAATTCGAACATGCCTTTCTGTCCTTACTTGTATATCCGCAATAGCACAATGTAATATTAATAATTTTTCTGGCAAAGGAAAATTTCCAAGCCATACAATTTCCAGTATAATGGTTTACTCGAACCTTGGACATGAGTATGTAGGTTCGATTCCTATGGTACTGTTAACTTATGCAGATATTGCATGTTGCAGATCGAATAATTTGTAAATTTATGGCTTTAAATGCACACCTTTGAGATAATATCTCGCAAATGAACACAACAAGAGGGCTAATAATAAAAAACAAAGGGAAATTTACCCAACAAGAGAGGGAAGTGAGGCGAACTATAAATTAAGCACATCTACCTGTACTGTATACTGATTGACACTTAATGATTACTGATTTATTGTTTCAATTCCACGATAAAGCATTTTTACAAGCCTCCACATGCAGGGGCGTAGCTAAGGGGGTGCAGGGGGTGCCGCACCCCCAATGCCGTGTCCGTCGGCACAATAAATCAGTTGTCGGCAAAATAAATTGGATCAAGCCAATAGGCAATACCTAAATTTGTAGAAAATGCGAGATCGAAAAGATGGATATGTCGACTGAAAGCTCGGCCCGAACATTCAGCTAAATTGGCAAGAACTTATTACGCTAATACGCTATTTAATAGTATTATATTTTCTTGCAATTTTGTGAAGTATACCATAGCTAGGAAATTCGAAGCACATGTGCGTGTTGACTGTTGATGCATCTGCGCTTCATTTCATAATCTTGTAAAGCCAGTAAAGGTCTTAGAAATTACACCTAACAGCCTTTTATACAATGAGAAATACGGAGATGATTTAACAGTATGGACAGTAGCAAGCAAAAACGCAAACGGAAGAGAGAGAAACTGGCGTGTTTAGTTTGCAATCGGTCGTTTGATGACGAATGGATCTGCTTTTTCGATTTTTTTTCGGAACTATTTCGCTTATTTTAAAAATAAATTATCTTACTACTCGGAGTTAATCGTTGTACATCACTTAAAAATGAATACAGTTCGCTTTGACCACGCCTTAACCGCTCGCTAGCCACGCCCTTTTGTCGGCAAAAAGTTGTCTTGCACCCCCCGAAAAGGATACTCTCCGCCCCTGTCCACATGGTGTAACAAACTACACAGTGTACAGTATAAAAAAGAGACCTTTAAAAATTAATCTTATTGCTATAATTTGAATCGAATTTTTATTTACCAGGAGCAAAAATATTGTGCTTAATAGGGACCATTCATTATTTATGACCAGGGGTGGGCTGGCAAAAAAGGGGGTGGGTGAGGAGGTATTTTTGACCCAAAAAGGGGGGCCACCTAAAAATATTGGTTCAGAAGGGAAGGTCCAGTTATTTTATGATAGTGGTATTATAGTGGAGAAAAATCTGACATCTAACAATTATTGCTACCACAGGGAGCGAGCAAGGCAGCAAATTTAATTCATGTATAGCTAGCAAAATTGTCAATTTTAATCAACAGCAATGTACACAGCTAATATGAAAAATAATCAAACATCTACCTTTACAACTTTTGCCATGAAATTGCCATAAATGTTTTGTCATATTTCAAGTAAGCGATGTAGCAACGTTACATCCAGGGAAAGTTTGGCATATACTATATACACTAGTCATACTAGGTATTTTATACATGGTTTAATTTAGCAAGGAATTTGTTGGCTTACCGTGTCAAGGCCGAGCCCAAGTTAAATGTCCAAGTCACTAACTGTTTAGTGGTGTTTGTAGTTCATTGACGTAGTATCCTAACCCAGGGGCCGTAGCAACTGGGGGCCTGCAACCCCCCATAATTTGCTAATAATCATTCTTTTTCCAAAATCATGCAGACTTCTATCATTTAAATAATATACATTTAAAATGTGTGACAAACTGCAAAGAATGAAGATATTTCTCATACTTTCCTGCAATTTATCCAATATATAGTTAATTAAATATGGCTTTGCCCATTTAGTGCTACAAAATTGTAAATTTCGACATACTAAAATGCTTTTTTTCTGTCCATCGGAACAGGGGGGGCTAGGGGGGCTAAAGCCCCCCCCAGAAGTAAAAGTGGGGGGGCTTAGCCCCCCCAGAAAATTTGAATTTTTTGAAAAAATTTTGATAATTAGGGGAAAATTTTGGTTATTTTTTGAAAATTTAGGTATAAGGGGACAAATTTGCAATATTTTGTTTAAAAAAAGTGTATTTCCGAAAAAAAATTTTGATATAAGTCCGAAAAAATTTTTTTCGTCCCTTTTTTTTGTATATTGTACCTAAAGCGGTACACTGACTGAAATTTTTTTGGCGACGGGGGGGGGTGGGGTGAGGTCGCCGAAAAAATTTAGCCCCCCCAGAACGAAATCTGTTCCGCCGCCGCTGCATCAGAATTCTGTCAAATCTTCCCCCAAAGTCAGGAAATGGCATTTCATTCAGGGACTCTAAATTTTAAAAATTTCCTCAGGCCTTTGGCCCTCACTTTCAGCTCCCCCAATCAAAAAGAGCTTCCTACAGCACTGTAACCCTAACCTCCCTACTCCTAACCAATTTTACTTGTCAATGGGGAAGCTCTGCTAGGCATGTCCCTATTGTGCTTGGCAACTTTTGAGCAACTTTTTGCGTTTGGAGCAACTTTTTTCGGCTCAAGCAACTTCAAGTAACTTTTTCCTTTTTGAGCAACTTTTTACTACACTCTTAGTAGTGAAAAATGGTATGAACCCCAGCTTTAGCCTCTTCAGTGCTCTGCAGCTTAATTGGGGTTAACCAAAATATCTGACAATGTATCTAGTTAACCCATTGTGCCCCAGTACTTATTTTTTACTTGTTTTTAATGCCAGGCAATTTCACTCATCAACAGGAAACTTTGCATTTAATGGGTTAAATAGGCATGCCTATTAATTGTTGAAAGCACAAGTAAATGAAAGATCTGATGCCTTTTACAACAAGTTTAAAGAGCACATTTCTATACAGTACTGTACATTTATTGTGAGGGGGGGGGGGGTTATTATTTTTTAGAATTTTTAGGATATTTTGTTTAGTTGTTAATTGAATTTTGCCAGCCCACTCCCAGTCATAAATAATGAATGGTCCCTTAACAGCAATAAGTTAATTTCTAAAGGTCTCTTTTTTACATACATGCAGACACAAAATAGCCAGTTCTGTGAAATTTTTTATCACAAGTCTGCTGGGAAATGTGACTCTGCAGTACTGGCAGAAAATTTGCTGAATATGACCAGCGGGAAACACATGGTTTTGAGAATATTAATAGTGATTAAATCTCCCTCGGGCATGTGAATCTTCACAAAACCTCCCTCAAAACAACAATTACTAATATCCCTCAAAACCATGCATTCACTTACAATTATTGTTTTGTAGTGCATGTGAGGCCTGTTTTAAAACATTGAATTTTTGTCACGTCGAATGCAATTCACACAATAGGTAATGAAGGTTAATGAGGTTTATCATCTCATTATCTGTTGTTTGAATTACATGCGACACAACCAAAATTAAACGTATATACTTTTCCAGTCCTCGCACGAAGCTCTTCGCAGCTCTGTGCGAGTGCATCCATGAGCATTTTCAGCCAATTACAATGCAAAACAGCACTTGCAGCGAGCTGTTCAGTACTTGTGTACTGAACAACTGCGTAGTATATGCTGGTTCTTTGGTTTAGAATGGCAAACCTCCATTCACATTTCTCTATACCTACTTGCATGATAACAGAAAAAAGCCCATTATGATCGTTTGACCCAATACCCTTTCTCAAGCTTGGTTTATCCATCATTTTTGGGATACTACCTCTCCCAAGTCTGCATGATGGGAATGTGTGCACCACAAAGTGCTACTTTTTATCACTGCATTTGTGTGTATAATGGGTAATTTACAGTTAGAATTTTAAATGCCGCTTTTCACATTGCTTTATACATTGTTTATTCTCTCTCTTACACTACCCCAAAATGGCTGATATAGACCAACATGAGAAAGGCTTATAAGTTGTGTATGATATTATATCCTGTATGATACTGATACTATATGTTCCAGGGATATTTACAAGCATAAAATATTGGTTCCAGGGATATTTACAAGCATAAAATAGGCTTGCTATAGTGCTGCATGTGTGTTGGTCGTGCATGCTCAGTGCATGGGCATGCTTCAATTTGCTAGCTGTGAATAAAATATTTTATTCCTTTTACATCTCAATAATTATTCGCATTTGCCACAATTTCGTCTGGGTGCATTGTGGAAAAATAGATATTGAGGACGGTTGAGTTGAAGATTAATATTTACTACCGTATACCGGTACTAGAAAAGTGCTTGTAAATAGGTCTGAGTTCATGTTTACTTGTAACATGTAACATCTCAGAACTTTATTTTGAACAGAACCCACAATTCTACTTACTTTATAAATATGGCAAGTCACCTAAGCACCCCGCCTTTTCATAAAACCACTTGGAGAACCAACAACTTATTTCCAAGTTTTTATGAAGTAAAAAGACAAAAACCCAAAAAAAACATAAACAAGAAATTGTACATTACTGAACAGTTAAAGTCCCATATAATTGTTTGTACAACAACAGCAGGTAGTCAAACAAAAGAGAGAAAAACAACCAATTGGAAAAAAGATCATGGTACATATATGCATGCATGCCACACCATATTATAGAATATTAACTGACATAACTATGCTGAGCCCCTAAAATGTTTATTAATTTCATGAAAAATTGTTATTATTTGTCGGTCTAATTGCTAGATATGATGATGTTCCATGTTGCTATTAATCAGTTACTATTAATGATGTGATTACACTTCTGTTGTCAGAACTTCCACCAGAATTTTCCAGGTACACAGAACCAAGTTGCTCATCTTCCCTTACTTGTCTCATTATAATATCCATTAAATGTCCAATCTGAAAATATTTATAAGAATCGAATATTGAAAAATAAGTTTGCACGTATATACAAACACTATCATTACATTACGTTTATCTTTTGTCTCAGATAGCTTGGCTGCCAGCCGAGCTGTACTATATTATACTATTCATTCAAAAAATGTGTGCATTTCGGAGACTGGTTCTAGAATGTTTTCATAAGCAAAAAACCACCAAAATTACATTTTCTGAAAATCATCAAAATGCGTCTAAATTCATCTTCCCAATGGATACAACTACAATCCTGGCAAAAATTATGTGGACACCTAACTTTTCTAACGCCAATATTAACATTGAGACGTTCTTTCATGAAATTTGTCGCCCCTACCCCCTATTCAATGTTGTTTCGCGCATTTAAATTTGAAAAGTTTCATTTACCAACATTGAATTGGGGGAAGGAGGGGGAGAAATTTTCTGGGGAGTAATTCTGTAGAAATAGATCTATTTTTGTTTGACGCACGCGGTGTCCACAATAATTTTTGCCAGGATTGTCTGAAATTATCACATATTTCAAACCGTCCGATTTCATGAATTTAAGGCTCGATCCAATGAGAAAATAGGCTTGTTTGTTTAGCAAAACGGGCAAACAATCAGTAAATCAGGTTATATTTAGTTTTTTTTACCCTCCGATCTATGTCAAGTGTCACCTATCACATTACATGTCAAGTGGCTTTTTACGTATTATCTGAATTTATACAATCACAACTTAGTCTGCAACTCTACAAAGGAATATTTTCGTATAACAAATTATTGAGCATTGTAAAGAACGACGATGTCTTA